GATGGCGAAGGACAGGCGGAAGAGCACTCGGACCAGGCTGGCAATCTCGTAGCTCCGGATGGGCTGCAGCTCCGAGTCTCCTTGGTACTCGATGTCAAAGCGCCGAAGCCCGTTGATGATCTGGAAGCAGCAGGAGGTGAGCCCCCGGGAGCCATGGCCACACTGCCCAGAGGGCCCTGGAGAGCCCGACCCCTCGGGATGTGGGCCTCACCTGATACCGGCCCAGGGGTGTGAGGATGAGTCCGTCCTCCCCCACGATGCAGTCTGGGAGCTGCTTCTTCCCGTTCTCATCCTGCGTGGTCCCCAGGGCAAGTGTGAGCTGGGCGAGCTGGGCCTCGCTGAGCTGTCGGGGAGACGCCTGCCGTCACTTCCAAGGTGGAGGGAGGCCTTCCCCCCGCTGGGCCTCAAACGGCGAGGGGCCCAGGCACGTGACACCTGGGGGAGGTGAGCAGGGCCAAGGGCGTACCCGGAACACTTGGCACAGGTACTCCAGGGCCTTCTCCAGGTACTCGTCCGTCTTGCGGACGCTGTCCTGCCCCATCTCATCCAGGTCATTGCCCAGGTAGGAGCCATTGGTGTCCGCGGGGTAGAAGCCCAGCCACGACAGGAAGGGACGGGTGGCCGTGCTCTCCCCATACTGGTCAGAGAGGGACTTGGCCGTCTGCTTGGCCTGTGTGATGAGCTGAGCCAGACGCAAGACCTGTGGGTGGGCGGGTGGGCAGTTAGCTGGCTCGGGGCCGCCTCATGGCACCGACAGCCCAGGGGTGGCTTCCACATGATGGAAAACTTAAAATGAGTTTTAAGGACTAAGGTGCACTTTCTAAGATAGTACGTCTATCATCAGAAAAAAACTAGACTCCACTGAACAAAACAGGGAAGGGGTGTGAAATGCCAGAGCCCAGAGGGCCCCGACTACTCACCAGTGCCCGGATCTCGGGCCCGAACATTGGGGTGTACTTGCAGTCCTGGCCCTCCAGGCTGTACACGTGGCTCTTCACCTTGAAGGAGGCGTCGGTGATGGCTGGTGGCCATGATGACAGGAAGCTGCCGGTGAATGTGGGCACCGTGAAGAGCCGGTGCTGGCGGTGGGGGATGACCAGCTCGGGCTCCAGAAACAGCTGCTCGCCTGGAAGGCAGGATGTGAGCCTGGCTGCGGCTCCAAGAGCACAGACATCGGGTCCCACCGTAGGTCCCCGAGGGCAGTGAGCCGCACGGCGCAGGCCCAGCTCCCGGAAGTCCCTCCACCCCCACCCATCTCCGCAGGGGAGTGGCTATGAGGAGAGCCCAACAGCAGCCCACAGCCTCCCAAAGCCACCACTACGAGCCACCAGGGGATGCGGCTCAGAGCTCCGTTCCCCTCCTGTGGGGCACACACACAACCCCCGCGAGCGCATGGGTGACAGGGCTGGCAGGGGCCTCACCCCGCTGGATCATCTCAGCCAGGTTTGGCTGCGCGAAGACCTTGGCCACGCGGAACACCATGAGTGCATTCTTGGGGCTGACAAGGTCCGTGCGCAGTGCGCGGCTCAGGAAGCCCAGGAAGAGCTTGGTGTACACAAGCAGGTTCTCTTGCACGAAGGGCGCCCTGCAGGCGGATGGACGTCAGGGCTCCCCCTCAGCTTCCGGTCTCCCCCTCAGCTTCCGGTCTCCCCCAGGTATCACGAATGGTGGCAGAGAGGCCGGGGGTGACACAAGGGGGCAGGACAAGTGGGCAAAGGTGAGGCCCCAAGGACAGAATCCTCCACGGATGAGGCCCATTCCCAGGACAAAGGCCACTGGGGGCGGGGCAGCCACACTGCAGGGCTGGCTAGGAAGGGCTATGGGGAGGTTTATGTGAGTCGATGTGGGAAAGGGACAGAAGGACAGGGGCCGCCCGTTGTCCCCAAGAGAGCAATCCTGGAGCCTGGGCAAGTCCCAGCAGGGGACGAGGGGGTGGCCCGGGCCCCCTGCCTGTGGGACCTCGGGTCCGGGCTCACCATCTCTCTGACACACTCCGGGCCTGGCAGTCACTGCTCGGGGCCTGCTTCTCAGGCGCGTACCTCCAGGGCTGCAGGTAGCTCAGCCACATCTCCAGGACCTGGGGAAACACGTGCAGCTGGGGCAGGTGGCTGGCGCTCAGGTGGGCAGGGGGAGCCCGTGCCCCCTCAAGATGCCTGGCCCCTCAGAACAGGTCACCCAGCAGGCTTTCCCCTGAGTGCAGTGGAGGGCAGCTGCGTGAAGCTGGGAACCCACCCTGCGTGGACAGCTGGGTTCAAGGTCGCGGCTGGCGGAACAGCACAGGAGACCCCCAAGGCCTCCCTTCCCTCATGCGCACACGCAGGGCAAAGGCCGTAGGACAACACTCACAGCTCTGAACGATGCGTCCAGGGGCCAGTGGCCAAAGCAGTGCTGCAGAAAGAGGTAGAGCTTCTGCTGGACAAACCTCGGGACGGCGGCCCTGTGGGGGAGGGGGCGTCACCTCACAGGGGAGCCCAGCACCCCCTGGGGGCAAGGCCTCCTATTTTTAGCCCCATTCCTCAGAGGAAATTCCAAAGTTCAGAAAATTTAGAGAACGTTCCAGGGACGCACAACACACGCGGCCGATCTAGTGTGGCTCCTGTGTGCGCCTCAGCTCAGCACGGCCCACGCATCGCCAGCTCTGCTGGCCCTGTTGGCCTGGGAGTCAGACCACAGCCCTTGCCCTGCCAGGGTGGTGTGGGGTGGGGGTAAGGTGCAGCACCGAGCAGCCTGCTGCTCTCCTGCCACAGGGGAAGAAGGGGGAAGAGC